AGCAATAAAAATAAACACAAATGTACTTGCAGAGGCAAAGAATTTTTTTTTTAATTGGTCTGTGTCTCCTCTAAGAAGTCTTTTGGCCTCTGACCACTGAGTTGGTTTTATTGTTGGTTTTTTGTGGTTGTTTTTTCTGTGGATTTTCATGACTAATAAGCAACATGAGGAGTTAATGCAGGATATCCCAGAAGATGACAATAGACCTTTACAGCTTGAAGTCCATTTATCATTGAATTGCAGAGTGATTTGGGTTGGGAAGGGACCTTAAAGCCCTTTCTGCTTCTAAAAAGAGGAGATTTCTGCCATAAAAATGTAGCTGGAGCATGCAGGAGCAGGTGGAGAAAAAAAAGTGCCAACTTTTGGGAGGTGCTGAGGCGTTTTAGCATCACATTTGCTGCGTGATGCTTCCCTGGATCTGTGTTAGAGTTCCCTCGAAAAAGCAAAATCTGTAATTCCTGCTCTGCCCGAATGACTTTCCTCAAAGAAGAATTTGGATGATAAGTGGATGGACTTAAGTGTGTTTATGAATTGCCAAAGCCTGTTAAGCCACGTTGCTGTTTTATAGCAACAACAACAATAATCATAATAGAATTAATAGAATATTTAATAGAATTAATAGAATATAGAATAGAATTAATAGAATCTAGAATAGAATTTATAATAGAATTAATCATAGCATAATAAGAATTTGTAATGGGGGTGCATATTGTTTTCTGAGGCTGAAAAATACAAAGTAAATTATCAGGAAGGACTTTTGATAAAAATCATCGCTTCCAGTGCCACACTGGGCTCCCTCTTCCCTCCTGCTCCGGCTGGGAATCACTTTGCCCGTTCCCAGGCACATCTGACCGTGGGAGAGCAGCAGGCAGATCGTGTGGCACGTGTCATCTCTTAGCAGGCAGGAATCCATCGGGAATGCTGAGAGCAGGATTTGCAGCTCCCTCTCCATCTCTGCGCCGCGTTCCGGGCTCGGGCTCAGCCCCGGCTCCTGCAGCAGCTCCAGCATCCTCCCGCTGCTCTCCAGCCCCTGGAGCTGTCTGATTGATTCATTTCAAGGTTTTTTCTGCCCCCGTGTCTTTGTTTTGGGAGCACAATGGCAGCCGGGAGCGGCATCTCCAGGCGCCGTGTGGGGATGCTTCTGCAGGGATGCTGGGCTGGGCTGCAATCGGATCCGTCCCTCGCGGCTTGACTGCCTTTGTGTGAGTGTTCCACCTTTTCCAGATGCAATATGGATTTAAACTATTGATTTATCGGCTCTTACCAGTGCAGTGTGCTCTGCTGGTTGCTGTGAGAGCAGCAGCACGTCCAATGCGGTCGGTTCCTGCCGCAGATTCCCCAGCATGCGTGCAGCAGCCTCACCCACCCTTGGATCCTTCTGCCTTAAAAATTGCTTTGTCAGATCTTGAGAGACGTTTAGTCACAGTGTGGGTTTTAAAGGCCTTTTAATTAAATAGGAAACCAGAAATATTGGGCTGCTAGCGCTTGATTTTGTACGGAACTTGTTATGTTTGCCTTTAACGAGAATGCCTGGCCGGAGGTGCTGACAGAGCTGATGCCAGAGGTGCTGTGGGATTTACTGACATCAGATGTGCTGGTGCAGATGCTGGTGCAGATCTGGCTCCTGTTTGCAGCCCCCTCACACTAATTGTGGTGCTTTGTGCAGGGGATTTGTTTAGGAGTGCTGAAACCTTGAGGTTTTCTTTGCCTGTCAAAGCAGTGAGTTCAGAGAATCCAGTTGTGTGTGTTGGGGAGGATTTGTTGTGTCGTTGGTTTTAGTGGAGAGCTGGTGGAGTGGGGATGGGGAGGAGAAGGGGAAGCAGGAGGGTTTCTCATGCCTGGCTAGAGCAGGAGAGGCTGCTCTGCTGATCCTGTGACTCATCGTGGTCTCTGAGATCCCTTCATCTCCTTGTAACTGAGAGAAAGAGTTAATAGCCATGACTGTTTACTCTGTTCTGGACCCAGAATCAGGCACTCGGAAGCCTTGTCGGGTTTCTGACCTGTGGACAGATGCTGGACCCTGAGGAGACAGCAGCTTTCAAAAACTAAAACACTCTGTAAGAGTTAATGAATTTTCTTATCACGGAGATTTTTTAAAGATCACAAAAGTTTTTCTCCCTTTCATAGTGAGGTGCAAGAGAATATGAATTACTGAGTCAATATTTACAATATTATTCACTTCCCTCATGGCGTTTGATTGTTTTCTCTTGCTTGACAACTTCTGTAAAGCTCCTTAAACAGGTTCATCTCAGTCTGTGCTGGTCTTTATTTTGAATTAACATGGATAGCTGTGTTCTCTAGCAATGATTTCACAACTGATTTACTTCTGGTGACCTATTTTAGCTGTTGCATTGAGGGATTTGTCAATAACTTTGGTGTTTCACCACCCTGGCAATCATTGCAGCAACTGAGTCAATCGAACTTCAGGAGTGATACTGTCCATAGATGTTGTTTGTATTGTAGGTCATGTCTGTAAACAATAGCTATTGCTGAAGCAAATAGTAACAACTACCTAAAATCATGCATAAATGAAATATGTAGAGAGGTGGATGTAAATACAAGCACTTGGAAGTTCAAAGAATGTGAGAATTAATGTTCCCTTAGAAACAGTAATCTCCCCTTTTCTGCATGTCCAGGGAGATAACTTCATAATTAAGTGTGGTATTGTTCCCTGCTAACCTTGCTGGGAGCAGATTATGCTCAACATTTTTATTTGTAGTGAAGAGAAAAAGAATTAAATAGTTCAGTTATTCAGCTCTTAACTGTGGCTCTTCCTTCCCATCCTTGGTTTCCACCAAGCTCCACCTTTGCTGCATCCAGATCAAATGCAGCAGCTGTTGTGTGCTGACTGAAGATTTAATATCTGCTGAGTCATCTGATTTATTTTTTCCTTTCCCACCCGCTAAATGCATTTTGGAGGTTAATTTACCGTGAGCTTTCTTTCCCCTTTAACATGCTGTGTAACTTGCAGGGAGATCCATCCCAGACTGTTGATTCCTGTTCCTCTTCTCCAGCCCAGTGGCTTTGGCAGCCTGTTGTCACCATTTTGTGTCCCACCATTGAGTGCTGGAGCATTTTGGGGAGTGGGACCCCAGATCTGCTGCCCCCAGCCCCTCCCTTGGCCATGGCTTGTTCTCAAGGCAGGGTTTGGTACACCTGGGTAACTGTACAGCAGAGATGTCTTTCCGTGTGATCAAGGAGATTGAATCGTAAAATAAATCAGAGATCTCAAGGTTGGGTTGGAAGGGACTTCAAAGCTCACCCAGTCCCCTCAACAAGCCCCGTGGAGCTCGGTGTCAAAGGAATGATGAAACTTTCAGGGAGGGAGTTTGTCTTTTGTTGATGGTTGTGTGTCTTTGGATTAATACAGGGCTTTACTCCCGATTTTAATACTGGGACTTCCTTGTCTTTTGAAATGTTTAGTCCTTAGAGTTATTTTGCATTTGGATTTATGTTCGTAGCTCAAAAGGGTTTTTTGTTTTCTCTGTGACTTAGAGGTTGTTGTCCCTAATGGTTGCTGGTCATTGCCAGGGGCCATTGGGGATGATGATGATGATGATGATGATGATGATGATGATGATGATGATATTGCAGTTGCAGTTGTATTTGCAGTGTGACATCCTTCTGGCAGCCACAGCGCAGAAGGGAACTGGATAATTGTCACGGTCTGTGGCCTCCCTGGGGTTTGTTGGCTTGTTGGGGTGGGTGCAGCTCATTTCAAATCAGGATTCTGGGCTGCTGTAGCCACACGACCTTCAGGTGCAGCTGCTGTGTCAGCAGGGGAAGATGCAAAGGTGACAGAAATGGATCTGTTCAAGGTGCCTGAGCATTGCTTCAGGAAAACTGAGGGCTGGGAGCGTTTCACCAAGGGAAGAGGGAGCAGAAAACCTCTCCTGGCCTGGGGTGTGGTTCCTCTCTTTTTGGGGGTGGAGGTAGAACTAAAATTAAAAACTAAAATTTTTAATCCCCATTTTAGTTCCGCTCTTGTGCTGCAATTTACACCTTCCATCAAGCCAGATATAGCTCAAATGCAGCGGGAGTTGATAAATTATGGCACAACAGGCCTCTTCACCAAATAACTTATGTAGAGAGATTTCTATCCAGAGATACAAATATATCAAAATGCAGTTGCTTTTAGTGTCATCAAAACACATCAATGCTAAGCTGGCTATTGAGTTTTTAAACAGCTATTTAAGAATTCAGTTATTTCAAAACTGTTTTAAAGATTTTAAAAGCTTCCCCTTCCTCTGCCATAAGGAAAGAGCTGCTGAAATACAGCCTGAATTTGAAATCCCTGGGTTTGCTTTTCCCCAGTCTGTGGAGTTGGGCTTCTTTTTGCTCTCAGCTGCCAGAGACTCCATGTACTCAAGCATCTGTATTGATGGGTGTATCTATTGTTTCTAATCTGGTCAGTTGATCAATGAAGAGCAGCCTGTAATTAATTGTATAATATTGTACACCATGTCCCACTCTGCATTTACACAGATGGATTTGGGATTTGTTAACTGTAGCTGCTTTCCTGAACAGTTTCAAGAGGATGCAATAAGAGGTTTTATTCTTCCCAGCTTTTCTGGGTTTTAGCGGACAAATAATTTTAAAGGGACACAGTTTCAAATTTCATATTTCAGATATTTTTTAAAATTTTTTTTTTGATCTCTTAATTCCAGTGCTTAATATTTTTATATTTTGATATAAAGTGAAGGAGCTCTTTGAAGATGCACAGTTTGGTTTTTATTTTATTCGAATGGGTGTGGCATCAATAGGAGCAAGTAAAACCTTCCTTTCTATCCCCAAGGACCTCATGGATTTCATTGCAGTGAGCTGGGGCAGAGGTGGAAGGAGCAGCAGAGCCAAGCAGCAGTTTGCCCAGTTTCAGTCTGCCACAGGCACCTTTTGTCCTGCTGTTCCTCTGAGATAGGTGATGGGACTCAAGGAAAAGTTGCATCTGCCTGACCTGTCCACTGTGATGTTCTACTTGTGCTGTTTTGGTTCTCGTGCAGATGGAGGGAACGAGGAGCCACCAGACCGAAGACAGGCAAGTGTAGACTCCCGTCAGAGCCGAGCTGGGCAAGGTAAAACCTGAGCGTTGTTCTGCCTCGGGCACTCGTCTCCTTTGTTCACCTTTGGTATTTCCCACGTGTCGTGTTTCTCGTCGAGCTGTGTGACCTGGCAGGCTTTGCACCCGTGGTTATTGTCCACACGGCTCTGAGATTGTCTGGTTTGTCAATCTTGGAGTGGCTGAAGGAGTTTAACCAAACTCAGTATGGTGTCTCCATACTGCAGCCACTGGCGCGGAGTGTTCTGCTGTTGGAGCTGGAATTCTGCAGCACACACCAGCCCAAACCAGCACTGAGTTTCCAAGTTTCTACTTATTTTCCTCCTGGTATCAAAGAGCTTCAGGCAGGTTCGCCATAAGCAGGCAGGTTCACCATAAGCAGGCAGGTTCACCATAACCAGGTTATCCTTCCCCAAGCCCTGGGATGCAGTGGAGAACGACCTGTGTGTACCTGTCTGGGGGCTGAACAGCCCCACCTTGCACCTTTTGCTTTGTTTCATCCCACAGGAAAAGGACAAAAGGTCCAAGGAAGGAAGCACTAAAACCAGGGTTTATATTCTTTAAATAACAATCCAACAGGCTTTTGTTGGGTGTCCATCACTCAGAGTAGGTTTGGTGGTTGGTTAACAGCACACAGAGTCCTGTAATGGGGATTTCTGTTCCTGACAGCAGCTGGTCTTAGATGTGTGCTGGGTTACGTGTCCTTTGAACCAGCTTTACTAAGTTTTAAGCATTTTCTCATTTGTGAAGGTTGTGAAAATGTGGTATTCTCACACAGCTTTGAGACTGAGCAGCATTTTTTGTGAGTAAGGGCTCTGGTTCTATGCTCATTGACTTACTCTGTCTTTGGGATTGCAGCAATAATTTTCCTTTCATTTAGGCTCAAGCCTGTTGTTGTCATGGTGTCCTAATGACTTATTATGGGGACATTTTCTCCAGAGAATTGTCCTTTTTTGGCAGTATTCCAGTGTTGCCTGGGTGAGATGATTTTGAGTCATTGAAGCTGTGATCAGAATTAGGGGGATCGGAATCGGTAGTTAAAGCCCTGAAGCTCAGAAGTGTCAACTGCTCTTTTCACGTAGGATCTTTCAATTGCTGCACTTAAATGTATTATTTTTAATTTTATTGTTTTAAAGTAGAGTTAAAGTAAAATTAGGAAGGAACCAGGGGGTTTATAGCTGTACATAGTCTATGGTAGCTTGCATAGGAGAAGTGCTTTGACATTCAGAGAGAGTGGCTGTTCTTTCCAGCTGAGCTCAGATGGAGTTGTTGGTGTGTAACTGTGCTGGAGGCTCTGCTGTGGGTGCCTGGCATGTCCTTCTCTGTGCTTGGCTTGTGTCCAGTGGTTTCCTGTTATGGGGCAGAGCAGCTCAGATGCAGCTGCTGCTGGGAGCTGTCTGAACACATTCTGTTCTCTCCAGTTCCCTTTCAGCCCATCTATTCTGCATCTCTGCTGCTGTGGGAAAGGCATGGGTTTTGGCAGACTGAGAGGGGATCTTTTTTTTGCAAATCCTTTCTCAAAAATCACTGATCTGTACCTCTTTGGTGACTGAAGGAACTGCAGCAACCAGCAAGAAGTTTCAGCGTGAGAGGGAATGGAAGGGGAAAAGGTTAAAAAGCTTCCAAGTTTTTGGAGCAACAAGCTTCTGAGCTAAATATTTCCATTTGGATCAGTGGATGCAATTGTACAGGCAGGCTTTCTGCAGCATGGAAGAAAGCTCTTTGCTCTATAGAAGCATTTTCTCTAACTTTCCCCGGCTCTGTGCCCATCACTTGAAATCTGTGTGCACGTGCTAAATGGGTATTTTTCATTGTGGTGGGGTGAGGAAGTTTATTATGCTCGGATAAAGCATCCAGCTGAAATGGGGCAGTTGTTTTTTCGCTGTCTGCCCTTCCATGTTAACCATGTGTGGTGCCCAGGTGTCTTCAAAGCTTCATTGGCAGCACAAGAGGAAACAGCCTCAGGGTGTGCCACGGGAGGTTTTGGTTAGGTTGGTTTAGGAAAATATTTTTCATGGAGAGAATTGTCAAGCCCTGGAACAGAATGGCCAGGGCAGTGGTGGAGTCACCAGCCCTGGAAATGTTCCAAAAACATTTGAATGCGACACTTAAGGACATGGCATCGTGGTGATGCTCGTTGATGGTTGTGATCTTAAAGGTCTTTTCCAACCTGAATGATTCTGTGGTAATCTTGTAAAACTCCAAGAAATAGTTTATTAGTTGAAATACGCACTTCGCAGTAATATTTTATTTAAATATATTACATAACCAAACTGTTAAAGTTCCAGTTCAGCCATCAATGAGCCCTAATTCCAGGATTTGATAAGCCAAATATTTTTTTCTGATCAAAACAAATTTCAGGCTGTTTCAGGGTTTTGCTTGTGTGTTTATTTTCTCTGCCAAGGAGGAGAGAGGAATTTTGGTAGGTGCAAAATGAAGGTAGTACCTTGTGGATGTTTTGTGAGTTCACTGTTTTGTTGTAAAGCGTTTGAATTTTAAGTGGAAAAACTTTGCCCACCTATAATTACCTTTAATTTTATATAACATACTGCCCTTGATTTTAAGTAGATTGATCAAAGACACTGGGAAATTACACCATAATAACCAGTGAAATGCATGTACACTTGTAAGCCTTTCCCAGACTTTAAGCTGCAGGAGATGCCCATGATTCCCTAAAATTTAGCCTGAGGCAATTGAAATTATTTTTAATAATCAAAATCATTGGTGGCAAATCTGTTTTTTCATGCCTGGTGCCAAATGTATTTTAAAAGCCCGTCACGGGTTGGCCTTTTGGGTGCCAGTTTTGGCAGAGATGGTGGTTCCTGACACTCCTGGAGAGCCTGGCCGGGCTGGCAGAGCCTGCAGAGGGCTCCTGGTAGCTGGTGAGTGATGAGCAGGCAGGCAGTGAGCTGTGTTTTGAGCTGTCAAAGTGAAGGTGTGAAGGGTGTTAGTGCTTATTTGGCTTTCATGCAAAGAGCATCACGGAGCTGCTGAGAGACATTCCTGATTGCTGGCACCAGGAATGGAGGCACCTCAGCCTCTGGTGCTGCAGCCCTCTAGAACCCTTTGGGAGCTGGTCCAAGGTTTTTGGCAGTTATTTCAGCATGGGTTTTTGTGCTGATTGTGTGCAGTATGTTGGGTTGTTCACATTGTGCTTTGGCTGTTGGGAATGCAGCTCGTCCATCATCTCCTCTGAAGTACCATGCATTCAAGGCTCTTGCCCTTCAGTCTTATTCCCACTCTTACCCATCTATCTCCCTTTCTGTCCAGCAAACATTTTCTCTTTTAAAAGCACTCTCACAAGCCAGTGAGAGCAGCACAGCTATCCAGGGGAAATCCAGCGAGGAATGTTTTATAGAGGGAAAACATCAGCATCAATAAGAGCTAAAATCTGTCTTGGAACAGAGTGACACAAGCCTGGCCTTCTCTCATTATTGAAAAATTAGTGTAATATCAATGATAACAGTTTGGGTTGGTTTTGCATGTGAATTATTAGTTGTCTGGGTTAGATTGTTCATCTTACTGACCAGGGTGGAGATCCAGGTGTTCTCAACCCCAAGGTTTCCATATCTGCTGCTAACAGGAGGAACCTTATGGCTCCTGACTCTTGCTGATCTGAAGCACCTTCCCTTCACTTTTCATTAATATTGATTACAATTAGGGTCAAGTCCTTTTATTATTCTGTCTTCACGTGTTCTCATGTTATTTCGTGTATTGCATTGTGGGTGTGTAATGATGCGACCCCCACGTGGGCTTTTTGTGTCTCTTGGGACAGTTGGAGCTGGTGGCTGTTTTTAGAGGTGTTCTTAATTTTATTTGGAGTTTGTGGGGTTTTTTTTAGGCTAAAGTCTTCCTATTGAAATTTAATTTAGCTGGGATGGTTTTATTAGAAACCAACAATCTAAAAACTACGGTCATTATATTGAAAACTGGAGTTTGCTGGATATGAAGACCTGGCTGGGTTCAGAGGGTGATAAATATTCCACTGTGGGTGCAATTTCCACTCTGCTGAATAGTCTGGTGATTAAGAGATTCTGAAAGACAAATTAAGAACATTGAAAGAAATTCTTCATGGTTCTGCTGTTCATCACACAGAGAGAGGTACAGCAAGGGATGTGTCGCGAACAAAGTGAGCAAGCGCTCGGCAATTCCGCTGTGCCCAGAGCTCCCTCCAGCCAGCCCTTTTGGAATGATGGAAGCAGGATGCTTTCCCTTGCTTTCTAACCCATTGCTGTTTCTTTTTCCTCTCCCCATCAGGCACCTCCACAGAGAACGACTGTGCTTTTGAACCCGACTACGCAATTCCTCCTCTCCCAGTGACCGAAGGTATGCAGCACATTCGGATAATGGAGGGCATGTCCCGCTCCCTTCCATCCTCCCCCTTACTCACACATCAGTCTATCAGTGTTCGGCTCCAACCTGTGAAGAAGTTAACTGGTAAGGACTTAAATAAAGTTCGCTGGGGCTTTTAAGGTCCGTTGGTGCAAAAATCTGTAAGAAAAAAAAAAAAAGCTTTGAATGGTTTCTGTATGGAAGTCGTTCCCTTGTTTGTTGCAGCATCGGCTTCAGTCAAAGCTGGGCATGGATTGGATGTTTGTGTTGACAGAGAAATCTTTCTTTGCTGAAAAAGGTCTCTCTGGTTTACAAATATTGTCTCATTTTTGTGATATTTGTATCAGAGTGTGTTTCAGTTCCACTTTGTGTTGCTGTTATGCACTGTGAAAGCATTGCAGTGGTTTTGAAGAAGTTGATGCTTAAATGTTGAATGTTGAGAGAACATCAGAGAAATTATGAACTTCTATAGCAAAGTTATACTTTGCTAAAAAAAATCTGAATGACAGATTTTTTTTTTTTTTGGTTCATGCATATTTTTAGATACTTCTTTTTATTTATGTCACCTGTCAGGACTGTGGTATGAATACCTAGAGATGATGCAGTACTGTGATTTTCAAAAGCACTTGGAGTCCAACATCCATACAAAAGCCTGAAAAAAAGTATTTCTACTGGTAACAGTTTTTGAAAAACTTGCTTTTTGCCTGAAGTCTGACCCCCTCTGTTGCCCAGCTTTATGGTCAGCCAGGGTCATGTGCTTGTGCCCAAGGTAGATGTTGGGCTGGGCTTTAATGTCCTTTCCAACCCAAATCATTCCATAATTCTACGATAACATAATCTTTTGAAGTTCCTAATCTGTCTGCTTTTTATCAAGGCAGCTTTTCATCCACAGAAAAGTTAAAATGTCCATTTTTGGTAAAAAAAAAAAACCTCAGGAACACATTCCACAGAGTGAAAGTTTTCTACGCAGAGGAGCTAAGGTCACTCACTCACATCTTAGTATCTGGGTTTGCTGGGTATGAAGACATGGCTGGGTTCACAGGGTGATAAATATTCCACGTGGGTGCAGTTTCCACTCTGCTGAATAGTCTGGTGATTAAAAAAAAACAAAGATCATTGTCATTCTAAGGGGGGAAGTAATAGTCAGCATAAGTAATCAGTTCTCCCCCTCCTGCCACCTCTTGTTTAGCACTGGCTGAAAACATACTTAAATCAGCACATTGAACCTCAGTTTGTGTTATTTAATTCTTTTTTTTTAAATAATAGTGGCTTTATTAACAAAAACAATGTTAAAAATATGTAATCAAGGGAAAGAAAACTCCCCACCCTCCCAGCCCAGGTTAAGTAATGGGAGACACCATTTTGGTGTGTGTCTGCAATAAAATCAGCACTCAAAAGTTACCGTGCTTGCTGCACAAAGAGCAGCTGATGTCGAAACAATGAGCTTAAATATTCTGCTATACATCAAGGGTGTGTTATTGCTGACTCAAAGCCATAACTGTGATGAAAATAATGCAGGTGCTCTGTATACCTGCCTTGAGGACAGCAGTGCTTTCCAGGAGGGTGCTCAGGGGTGAGTGTATGTAAGTGCTTTTGGGAATTGATGCCAAAAATACGTGCATTAGGTTAATAAAGGAGATACTGGGCTGAAAGACTCAGCTCATGATGTTTCATTCCACTCCTGTGGAACCCACCATTTGCAGAGGGTTTGCACAAAGCCCTGTGCTGCATCCCACTCCTCCTCCTCCTCCTCCTCCTCCTCAGGAAGGAGTGTTCATTTGCATATTGTACATTTATATGCGCAGGGATAATTTTATTCATCACTGTACTTGGCTATTGCTATTTTTTCTATTGAATGACAGATTGCAAGCATTGGGATTCTCTTAGAAAGAGCATGTGTGTGAGTGCCTGTGCAGAGAGTGAGGAGGGGAGAATATTAGCAAGAAATTTAGGAAAGAAATCGTGTTTTTCTAACAAAAACCTGGCCTGGATGTTTCCGTTTGGATTCTCAGAGCCCTGATCCTGCTGTATCCCGTGTGAATTAGCTGCTTCAGTGTCTTCAAAGAAATGGGCCTGGGGAACTGATTTCATTGCAGATCCTCTCTTTGAGAGCATTCCTCCCTTGTGTCTGGGGAATGTGGGAACTTTCCCTAAGAACAGAACTCATATAAATCAGTAGGAATATTCCTATAAATCAGTGGGTTCAGGTAGTTGATAGCAGCCTCTTTCCTACAGAAGATGTGTATTTTTTCACTAGATCCCTCAGAGATGGTGAGAGCAGGGCTGGGCAGGATGGAGGCTTGCTCCTCCCAGTGATACCAGTAAGGATCCACCATGTGGTTCTCAACACCCTCCAGGTCCATCTGGGCTGGGCACCTCAACACACAGCATGTTCTGTGCCACCATCACACATCATTTGTGGTGCTGGGGCCTTGTCTTCTCCCCATCCCTCTTGGGATACCCTTGCATCTCTTGGGAGCAGCCACAGGGAGTGTCACATCTCCCTTCTCTGTATCTTCAGCAGATGGTTCAATATTCTTTGATGTTAACTGTAATTGTGGGACTAAGGAACTCAGATCTCTCTACTTGAAAACTCAGTTTCTTGTGTAGTGGTGCTAAACCCAGATTAATGACTGCAGCCCCCAGGCCCACATGTTCTCTCCAAATTGTTGTACCAGCTCAGCTGGGTGGGAGCGTGAGAGATGACGAGGCACAGCTTCAGGGGTGGGAGTGCTGGGGGGAAGCTGTCAGTGCTGGCACATGTGGGAAGTGGTGAAGTCACTGCTCCTGGAAGTGCTCAGAAAACGTGTGGCTCCTGCACTTGATTGCACGGTTTAGTGTGGCATGTGGCGGTGCTGCAAGGTTGGTGGTTGGGTTTGATCATCTTCGAGGTCTTTTCCAGCCACAGCAATGATTCTGTGATGTGAGTTGTTGAAGGAAGGGGACCAGGACACCAGCTGGTTCATCACAGGCCCTCAGGTCCAGTCCCGGTCCCTCAGGTCCTTCAGGTCCAGTTTATTGAAGAAAGTATCAAACACTTATACAGCAAATAATAAGCTTATGAATATTCTGTAAGCCAAGCAATCTATTGGTTAAACTATACCATGAACTCTACCTCATTCCTTAGGGATTACATCTCTCTTTTCTCATGTCTCTTTCACTGTTTGTTATTATACTACAGCTAGGCCTCAAGGACATGCTGTCTACACAGGTGCAGGACTTGGAATTAGCCATGGTTTTGTACTTTTCCATTTTCTAGCAGCTAAATTCCCAACAGTGAGTGAGGTGGGGTCCTGGCACAGGGTGCCCAGAGGAGCTGTGGCTGCCCCTGGATCCCTGGCAGTGCCCAAGGCCAGGCTGGACAGGGCTTGGAGCCACCCAGGACAGTGGAAGGTGTCCCTGCCCATGGGCACGGCAGTGGCAACTGGATGATCTTTAATGACCCTTCCAACTCAGGCCATTCTGGGATTCTGTGTTTTAAAATAAAATAAATAATCAATGGGAAGGATTTCTGACAAAAGTTTCAGTTGCTGAGCCCAGGCTCCAGCCCTGCAGTGTTGTGGTTGTGCTGGGTGGACAGTGGCCATTCTCTCCCTCACTGTGTATTGTTTGTTTGAGCATTAAGTGAAAAGCAGCTGATGATGGTTCTGGTGAATAATGTGTTTTTCCCTAGTGCTGCTCATGGAATACAGAGCTTGGCCTTGCTCACAGCTTGTGCTGGCAGGTGTGTGTGAGCTGGCATTCCCTGCTCTGCCACACCTGAAGATGCTCTGGGGGCTCTGCCAGCCTCCCTTGCCCAGCAGTGCCTGGGTTATGGGTTAATTTGGGAATGCTCTCTGTCTCTGGCAGGATCTGTGTTGGTGTCAGTGCCACTCAGGCACTCAGCCACCTGATGGTGCTGCAGTTTGGCTCTTGGCAGCCTCGCTCTGTAAGGACACGGCTCCTCACCTGTGTGGGGCTGTGCCTACCTGTGGGCACTCTGTTTTCACAGATACTAGTTTGGGTCCTTATTAGTGTCCAGCTATTTAATAATTTCAGTTCCAGTTATTTGCACACACTGCAGAATCATGTTGTTTTGGTGCAGCCCTCCTCATGCAGACGTGTCTGGGCTGGATGTGAGTGATCCTGTCAGAAATTTGTGCCGACTCTTCAATGTGAACAGTGCAACCTGTCCCCAACCAAAGGGGTGCTGCAGCTTTAAAGTATCCTAGGGCTTTAGAGCCTTTTAGTATAAATTGTTCCCAGAATCCATGTCACAACTCCTTATATGGTGCTGCCTTTTTTTTCCTTTTCCTCTTAGTTGCCATGACAACAGCAGCACTGCGCCATTCATCAGCTCTGGTCCTGGGCTGCATCACCAGCCCCTCAGCTTACTCCGAAATATTCGGGAGAGCATCCATGAGTCAGTCACTCTGCTCTCCTGATCCATTATTTCCCTGCTCTTTCAGCAGTTTGCTCTAGGAAAAGAGCAAATTAAGCTGCACCACAGAAAGAAACCGTAAAAAAAAATCCTTTTTCTCCCCCCCCCCCCAGGGGAGGTGTAGAGGCTACATTTGCTGCAGCGTTCTGGTAGGAATTAAAGCAGCTCTGTAAGACTGGGAGAGACTTGCCGAAGAGGGAAGGCTGTGTGTCCACGAGCTGCTCTGGAATCCTGCTGGAGCTCGTTTCCTGGCGCCCAGAGGATGTGCAGGTGATGCTCGTGGGAGCAGCGGGCGCCGCAGGGAGACGGCGCTTGGTGGTTTTGGGAGCAGAGCTTGACATCAGCAGCGGGAGGTGTCACCTGTAACATCACCCTGACGTGGGGAGCAGCAGGATGGAGCCGGCGCTGGGGAGAGGGAGGGATCAGAGGAGGATCTGTGCCAGAGGGCTCTCCAGGCTGCAGCAGCCCTGAATTCCCAGCCTGTGATGGGGAGAGCAAGCGGAGCCCTGTGAGTATTTGGACGATTTGTCGCGTGCGGTCTTGGATGGGGATTGTGTTGGGCATCCTCCTCTAACTGCAGAAAAATCAGTGTACAATAAGGGATTGTGGGGCTCCTAGTTGGTAAGGAAGCCATTACTAGGAGGGAGTTAGTGTCAGATGGAGTGATGCTGCTGCTGGTTATTTG